CTTCTCTCGGGACTTTTCACAGCAGGTCCTCCAAGCCTCATAGGACATGCACCCAGCATTTTCCTGGGCTTATGGGGTTCACGACCCCAAAAGTGTGAAGAATGGCTGATCTGACCCCCTACTCACCCTCAGTTTACAGGCCAGGAAAACTGGCCCAGGGAGGTGCGCCTTGCCCAAGGGCCTCACCTGATGAGTCAGAGCTGGGGCAGCCCGCATGCTGTGCCTGCAACCAACCTTGACCCAGCCCTTCTGCCTGGCAGGTGTTTGTCCTACCCAGACCAGTGACTAAGGCCCACCCCGGGCAGACGAGGGAGGGGGCTCGTCAGGCTTAGTTTAGGGGATTAAGAAAGTTGAGTTGATGGACAAGTAGGGGTTAACCTAGCAAGGAAATGCTGGGTGCATTCCAAGCAGAAAAAACCACACCAGTGGAGGTCCAGAGCCTTGGGGAGCAACACCCACTTGGGGGAACTGCAGAGTTCCTTGTTCCTGAATCAGAGTTTGGGGGTGAGGGTAGGCAGGGGGGAGGGACTGAGGAAGATCCAGAGATAAAAACAACGCTGGCCAGCCCACCTTGGGCTCCACCCGAGTTCCCCTAGCACCTTTCCCAAACCATTTGTCCATTGGCAGATGAATGGTAGGCGGTGGGCGGAGCATTTGTTAGCCAATGAGATGGACGGAACTGGAAAATTAAAAACCTCTCAACATTCGAACTCACTGCCATCACGTGCATGCCCACTCACAGAGGCCTGATAGGGCAGGGTGGAACTGCCCCCTCTAAGTTTCTGAGACTGTGGTCTCCACAGGAGTAGAAAGCCCCCATTGTTCTCCTGAGGAGCCGCTGGTGGTTTCAAACTGTTGACCTTGCGGCCACTCTGCCACCAGGGCCCCTCTAAAAAGCCAGGCCCCAAAGGCTAAGTATTGTAGGATTCCATGCATGTGAAAGACACCCCCACTGTGAGGTGACCCCAAGACAATTCCCTGGCGCACAGCCTCTGGACAGCAATAGGACGCACTGCCTGGTCCCTCACACAGTAGAGCCCAGGGCTGCAAACACTGTGTCCATCCATCTTCTCAGGGTGTTCCTCGTTCCTGCTGCCCCTCACTTTACAGGCTGGATAGCCTTTCTCCACCCAGCCACTGGTCCCTTCCTGGAGGCAGGGTGAACATACACCGCTTCCAGGGGCATCTTTTGAGCGCCTCCCGCCTCAGGGCTCAACTTCCAGGACTTGGTAGGACCGTATTCGGCTGCGATTCAGGTTTTCATTGGCCTTTTTTTTTCTCTTTTCAGAAATAGGTTGCCAGGCCCTCCTTCCTCGTCTTAGTTTGGGAGCTAGATTTTCACCTGTCCACCTGGGGTGACACATTTCTTGGTAGTGGAAGTCCTGGGGGCATCACAGCCAGCACCACAGCCACCCACAAGCCATCGCAGGGCAGTCTGAGAAATCTAATCTCTTGGTCCTAGGGGTCAAGGAGGAATGTGGGCTTTTGTTCTGGGGTTGATGAAAATGTTTGGGAACTAGATAAACATGGTGGTTGAGGAACACTGCGGGTCGTACCAAATGCCGATGAATCGTCCTCTTCAAAATGGTTAGTTTCATGTGAATTTCATTTCAATATAAATTATATAGAGAGAGATGTCCAGCTCACCGCCATCCTTGAGGACAAAGTAGGAACCACCCCTGTGGGTGCCTGAGGCTACAAATCTTTATGGGAGCAGAAAGCCTGCTTTCTACCAGTGTCTGGTCATTCTGGTTAGTAGCCCAATGCACAATCCACTATGCCACCAGAGCATAACCTTTCTCTCTCACACACACACACACGCCTCTCTGGAAACACATAAGAAACCGGTACTTTCATTTTCTGTAGATCGGGTGCGTCTTGATTCAGAATCTAAAACGTGCATGTGATGAACCAACACTTGCTTTTTGATCCTGTCTTGGCTGATGGCCTCACTCCCCAGGCCCCTCACGTGCGTCTCCAAAAGCAGGAAGGGGATTCTTGTCCAGGCTCCTGCCCTCTAGTGGGGTGTGTATGTTTGTGTGTGTAATCCCTCCCTCAGCATTCTGTTCCAGCCTCAGCCCAGCCCTGCCCGCCCCCACCCCCTTCACCTTCCTGGGAGCTGGCTGGTGGTCCCCTCAGACATCCCCAGCCCCCATCTGAGCACCTGTTCCTGCCAGATGCCTTCACCATACTCCCACCTCACAAGACCCCTGTTTAGTTTCACATCCATGTTACAGGTGAGGCAATAGAGGCAGGAGACACAGACTGCCCCCCCTGCTGAGTTTATGCCTGGTTGGCAGTCCTACCCTGTCCCAATAGGTTACTCTACTGTTGAGTTTATGCCTGGCTCTGGAGAGCAAGTGGTAGTCATTCTTTTCAACTGCTTTCTCAAGAATCCCTCCCGCTCCCTGAGCAAACTGGAACATCTTCCCGGCTCCCCATGAATAAAACACACTCTTCTGGGTCCCCATCGTCTTTTTTGGGGAAGGATGTGTTGTATTATATACTATGACATTATATTTTATCGCAGGCAGGAGGAGTGGGGACCAAGTTTTCTTCCGGCGCAGACTTGGCCCTGTAGGCACAACTAGCTTGACTACAGAGCCATTTTCGGATTGAGTTTCATTTTTGTCTCTGTGTTTTCAATCGGGTCCAGGGCCTCTCTTGGCGGGCTGTCCTCCTCGCTGGAGTCCACCCGCCCTGTGCGGGTCTCAGCATCCATGAGTGATGGTGGTGGTGGAGGGGAAACGGAGGTCTAAGGCTATGATACCAGGCTGCAGCACTGGCCTGGCCCAGGGGTAGGGGGTGGGGTGGTGCCCACATCCCCACCAAGGCACCCCCCCCTCTTCCCTGGGTCAAGGAGCCAGGCCAGTGCCTACGTACAGTTGATGTCCTGTGGATGTAAATGTAATTGAGCAGACTAGGGCCAGAGTGAGTACAACTTGCAGGTTGAGAAAAGGGAGTGGGGATTGTGGGCAGCACTGCCAGCCTGAGGCCAGAAAGACCTGGCCAGGGGGCTGTAGTTAGTGGCAAGAAGGGTCAGTGGACAAGCAGGTGGCCTCGCTTCGTCCTGCTGAATGTCAGGGTCCAGGGAAGAGCCACAGCTAGGAAAGGGTTGGGCGGAGAAGGAGAGAGCAGGGCTCAGAGAGGAAGCCTGTTGGGTGGGGGGGACACGGTCACGCAGATAGGAGCTCCTGCCTCCCCATCCTGTCCCCCAATCCTGGCTCCCCTGCCTGCCTCCCGGCTGCTGTACCCACTCACTTTGGAAGCTATAGGAGTCTGGAATCAGGTACAGTGGGGTGGGTGGGACCATGAGAAAGTCCGGACTCCTGGGTTTTACGGCCACAGTGAGACAAGCCTGCGTGGCAGATCTGCGCCTCCCAGGGCCTGGAGAGGGGCATTGGGATAAGAATTGGGCGTGGTAATGGCGGCAGCGTGGGGGCTGGCCACAGAGAGAGCACTGGGGTGGAGAGAGTCCAGGACCCCGAGGCCCGGAGAGTCGGGCCTCTGGGCAGCTCCTCTGAGCACGCCCATGGTGGGGACGCCGCTCCCGAGCCCAGGCCCAGTGGGTCGGCACCTTCGCCATGACCTGGGAGGAAAAGAGGAAGGGGGTCAGTAGGTGGCAGGCCCAGCTGCGTTCTCCCGCCCCCCGCCCCCCTCGGATGCCGGCCCTCACCTCCTCACAGGACTGGCGGCTGACGACGGCGCGGAAGTCCATCCGGGCCCACAGTTTGTCCCTCTGGCGCAGGAAGTCACCCACCCAAGGGCGCCAGTCTTCGCTGAGCGCCCAAGGGAAGATCTCACACTTTGGGTCCTCCAGGTCCTCCTCCATGTCATTGGCAAGATACCTGGGGACAGGGGCGTAGGTTCAGGGGACAGAGGCCCGAGCACCTGCCTTGCCCCATCTCACAGCGCCAGG